CCCCCCCCCCCCATGCGTCTGCAGGTGGGCCCCGACGCCGCTGAGATCATGCAGGGGCTGGGCATCGCCCTCAAGTGCCACGCCACCAAGGCGCAGTTTGACTCCTGCGTGGGCATCCACCCGTCGGCGGCAGAGGAGTGGGTCACCATGTCGACTCCCGCCAGGTGAGGCTCTGGCTGTGCTGCCTGCTGGCGGGGGCAGGGCCGGCGGCTGCGGAGGCTGGCGGCCGCTGCCGGGGGCTGGCTGCTGGTGGCTGGCTGCTGTGCCTGGAGGCTGGTGGTTTGGAGGCTCGGCAGTTGGTTGCAATGGGCTGGCAGCCGGGGTGGCTGGTGCGGTGGGGGGGCAGGGGCAGGGTGGGCGTGCAGCCCCCGGCGGGAGGCTGGTGCTTTGCTTGCCTGCCGAAGGTGCACCTGCCGACAGCGCAGATCGCTGAGCTGCGGCGTGGCCGGCTGCGCTGCCCGCGCCGGCGTCCCTTGCAGGCGGGTGGAGTGCAAGGGGAAGCATGCGGAGCCGACGGGGGCCGACAGCGCCGGATACAAGGGCGACTAGCTCACGGGAGCTGGCCCGACGGAGGAAGCGGGGCATGTGCGGCGGCGGCTGTGGCGGCGGGCGGCGCGCGGTGCCCTCGCACCTCCCTGGTCCCCGCTTAGCGGGCCTCGATGAGACGAAAAGCACCGGCTATTCATACTTGCTTCTAAGTTGAACACGTCAGGGACAGTGTCACGTGTGCATTGTAAAACGGTGGCTTCTAGCAGCGGCTGGCAACCATGCCCACTTCCCGTGCCCACGGCCCACTTCAGTATTGTTACAAACAACGAACAAAGGAAGCGATGCACGACTGCCGTTCACTCCTGGGCTTTCTGCTTTCCTCACAGCTTGTAGCGGGCTGTACCAGTGCTGCTTTCCTCACAGCTTGGAGCGGGCTGCGCCGGCGCTGAAGGGGTTGGGCGGGGCTGGCTCCACGGAGCTGGCACCGCCTGCCTCATCCCCGCCGCCTGCTGGGGCCGGGTTCCTGGGCAGGTCTCGCATCTGCGCGCAGGCAGGCAGGCAGGCAGGCAGGCAGGCAGGCAGGAGGGGAAGGTAGCAAGGCAGGGCCTGCGCAGGGGCGCGGGTGCAGCTGGCAGCCTGCGTGGGCAGGCTCGCGGCTGCAGGGTTCCACCCTCCCAGGGGAGCCAGGCAAGCTTGCCAAGCCAGCTGAGCGGGCGCCAGCGCTGTCTCAGTTTGCACAGGGGCCGCAACGCACCTGCGCCACCGCCAGCGCATCGCCCAGCGTCTCCGGGAAGGCGCTCGCCTCAGGCTTCTCCCCCTGCGGGCAGCCCGGGCGGGCGGCAGGCGGCGGCAGCTTTCGCCAGGCCGCTGCCACTGCGCTGCTGCTCCCCTGGGCGCTGCTTTCTCTGCCACTAATCAGCGGCGTGGATGCTTGGCTGGTGGGCACAGGCAGGCAGGCAGGCAGGCGCCACCGTGATGCTACGGCAATCGGCACCCCCTTCCAGCCACAGTGCGCAGCGCAGGGGGGCGCCGATGCGGCACACTCACGGCTCGGGCTTGAGGGCGTCGTGCAGGGCGTGGTCGATTGGGTCGTCCTGCGCCTGGTTGCACCCCTCGCCAGCCTTGGCCATGTGCAGGCTCTCGCCTGCGGCAATCAGGGCAAAAGGTGGTAACTTTGGAGAAGGTAAGGGTGGGCCAAGGCAGCAGGGAAGGAAGGCGGCATGCGATGGGTGGTGGAGCAGGTGCCCAGGTCGGGTCCCGCTGCGGCGCGTATGCTGGCAGCGCAGGTCGACAGGGCGCCAGCTGGGCGGGCTGTCACGGGTGCTGGACCTGCCCGCACGGCGTGCGGCCAGCAGCACACAGCACGCCCACCCGTGCGCTCCTCTGCCGTGGGCTCGCCGCCGTGCGAGCCCAGGTGCAGGCGCATCTTCACGCCCTCCACGGCATGCGCGGCAGACTCCCGCATCTTTTCCAGGGCCCCCGCCGGCGCCTTGGCCCAGTCTGCCTGCCCCAGGTCGGGCTCCCCTGGCGGTGGTGGCGACGACTCAGCCTGGTGCACAGCAGGGAGTGGCAAGGGGCGGCATGAGGGGCTCGTGGCATGAGTAGCATAGGCTGGCCCTCCTTGGCATGTGTGCTCACACCAGGGCACCACAAGAGCAGAGCGTGCCTCGTCGTTGCCGCGGCCATTGCCGCCACCCAGCGCCGCCGCCACCCTCTGCGCGCCGCCCTGGACGGCCTCCGCCGCCTTCTGCGCCGTCTCCTTCACCGACTGCATTCCCGAGCCTGCCAACTCGACCAGAGTGGTAGCAGCGCGCTCACACTACTCGGAGGGACCCTGCTGGGCCATGCACCCGTGCTGCACTGGAATTGGAGCTCTTGACGAACTGAAGAGGCTGGGTGGCACAAAAGGGCGTCCGAGAGGGTTTTCGGCTGACGTGGCCAAGATGCGCGCGTTGCGGCACAGCAGCGATGGGGCCCAAGAGGACCCGCGCCCGCATCGCCCGACACTCATCCCACACCCTGTCGCACAGCCGTCCAATCAGCAGCGCCAAGGGTCCAGGGCCAGCCCCCACAGGTTTCGGGCAGCCGTGCGCGCCGCTTCCCAGCCTCTGTGCCTGGCGCAAGGCTGATGGCGCAGTCCAGAGCGGATCTTCGCGCGATCGTAATGCAGCAGGAGGTGAGGTTGGAGCCTCCTGGCCCACGCCGCCGCCCGTCCCCACCCGCCACCCGCCATCCACCCCTGCTTGCCCCAGCCACGATCGCTGTGCAACCGCCAGGCAGCCAGCTGCGAGACGATTCGCTGACCGCAGGTGTCGGAGCTGGAGGCCCTGGTGGCCGCCGCCTGCGCCAGAGGCGTGGATGCGGCGCGGTGCCGAGACGTGGTCGAGGACGCCGTGAGGCGGGCGCGGCGCAGGGGCAGCATGCTGCCGCACCTGGACAGCAGCCTGCTGCTGTCAACCCTAGAGGTGGGGCTGGGCCTGGTCGGATGGACAGCTTGTGTTTTCTGACAGCTGCCCTGCCGTGGCTTCACCCTGCGTGCTTTTGCCGCCCTCCTTCATGCATGCACGCCTGCCGGTTGCGTGCGCTCCCCCCTCCCCGCAGCAAGCCAAGAGCGAGATAGCCAGCCTGTCAGACGTGACTGCCACCAATGCCGAGGTGATGGAGCAGGAGCTCCTGCATCACGAGGTGAGCTGGACCAGTCAGCCATGCCAGCAGGGCGGGCTGGCGGGCCGCTGGCAGAACTAGCCGCGCAGCCCGCTCCCGTGGCAGGCTGAGCCGAGGCAGGCTGCCTTGGCGGGCTGCCTTGGTGGGCTGCCAGCCTTTCTTGTCAACTCAGCAGCTGGAAACTCCCCCTTCTTGCCTGGCCGCCGCGCCCAGGAGAGGGCCGAGGAGCAGGCCGCCGCCGGCAGCGAGGATGTGGCGGCGGCCTCGGTGCAGTCGCTGCCAGACACCCGTACCGCCAAAGCGGCGGCGTCCAGCAGCAGCGGCCAGCAGGGCTCGGTTGTGGGCCTGGGCGAGGAGGACGCCAGCGCCCACAGCGGCGGCCTGGCGCCGCCCACGCCCAGCCAGCCGCCGGGCGGCGCGCTGAGCGCGGCAGACGCGGTGGCTCCCATGCGAGACTTTGCTTCAGACGTGGCCGCAGAGGTAGGATCACCCGCTGTGGCTGGCTGGATGCCTGGTGTTGCAGGCAATGCACAGGCAGCTTGGCCTGCCCTGCCCCTGAATGTCACTCCCAAGGGCGGGCTATGAAGGGGCCGCGCTGCAGTCGTGTGCCCACCCCCCTCACCTGCTCCAACCTGGCGCCGCGCCCCCCACGCTTTCCTCCCGCGCATGAGCAGGCCGCCGCCGAGGCGGATGAGGACCGCTTCTTCCGGCACACGCTGTCCATGAAGGCCAGCAAGTCGGGTGGGGGACCGGTACTGCAGCGGTACCGTGCACCTGCGCCACTGCTCCCTGCAGCGCAGCGCCAGCGCCGGCCACAAGCCGCCTGCCGCCCCACCAACCCTGCCTGGCGCGCTGCCCCTGCCGCTCATCCCTGCCCTGCCTCCTCCTTATTCTGCCCGCCCACCGCGCCTCTGCCCGCTGCAGGCGACTTCCGAGTGGCCCAGTCGTACGATTTCGAGACGGCCGTGTCGCCGAGGGCCGCCTACCACGTTCGGGACGAGCCCTTCCGCTTCTCCTCCTCCTCCGACAAGGGCGGCTCCTCTGTGTGGCAGCCCACCGCCGCGGAGGAGGAGGAGGGGCAGGAGGATCTGCTGGTGAGCGGCGTATGGGGGGTGGGGTGGGAGCACCAGGGAGCGGCAGCAGCTGCCGTGCCGTGCAGTGCTGCTTGGCATGTTCTGTGCATGCCAGCGGCGACCCACCTGCCACAGCTGCACGCCTCGGCAGCAAAGCGCGCCATGTGCGGGTGGGGTGTGTGTTGGCAAGCTGCGGTGGCAAGCCGCGTTGCGTGTGAATGCGGCTGATTGCAGGTGTACAGCCGCAGCACCCCTGGGGGTGAGGAGGCGGAGCCAGGGCAGGAGGAGGAGGAGGAGGAGGCCGTGGCTAGGCCTGCCGCATACGCGCCCGCCGGCCCCTGGGCGGCAGCCGCCCCGCGGCACGGCAGCTATGGCAGCAGCCGCTGCTGCTCCAGCATCCCGCCGGGCCTGAATCCCATGGCTGCGATCGAGGTGGGTGGGATTCTGCTGCAAGCACTGCCAGCTGGGTGCAGAGATAGCGGGAAGAGCATGATCCCCTCAAGCCCCCACCCCGTGCTCCCCACCGAGCCACCCTCCCCATCCCGCCCTTCTCCTGGTCAACCTTCTGCGCCGATCGGCCACTCCTTGCTGCCGCTGGCATGCATCCCTGCCACACCCACCCACCCCCACACCCAGACACCCACACACACGCGTGCGCACACGCACGCACACACCAGCTCTTCCCTGCCATGCAGGGGGGAGTGGAGCACGATGATGAGCGGGAGGCGATCGACCCCCAGTCCCCCACAGGCGTGGGCCAGCTGGACCTGCGCAGCTACAACGAGGCGCCCTTCAGCCTGCACAGCGTCACGCCGCCACGCCACGTCATGGCTGAGCTGGCGGCGGAGGTGCAGGGGCAGTTGCGGCTGTGAGGCGGGGCGCCGGGGCAGGCAGGGCGCCGTCCTCTGGGCAGTCCCGCAGGGCAGAGGGCCGCTGGCGCATTGAGCAGCTGCACCCTGCCACGGCAATGAAGCCCGGCCAGAGAGGGGCGCCACATGCTGAACATGCTGCAAGGCAGCAAACAACATTGGCCGCCGCCGCAGTGCCGCCTGCCGCTGCCTGCACCGCTGGCAGTGCAGCAGCCGCGCTGGCGTGACAAAACACCCCTATAACCTGCTGGCGCGCATGTTTGTGCGCCGACTGTGTCTTTTGCCCCATCACACCTGTATATGTGCATTCTGAACGCTGCGGCGCTTTGCATGAACGTCTCTCCCCAGACGGGACGCGTTTTGCCCGCCTGGCGCCAGCTCCTCCGCGCACTGCGATCTCTCTTCCCTGTCGTTCCCATCCTGCGACTCGCCTTCTCCCTCTGTGCTTTGTGTGTTTTGCTGCAGCGCTTTCATTTCATCACATGCGCCCCAAGTCCCGATTCTGGGCTGGCGCCATTCAGCCCATCCACCTTTCATTCTGCCCGCTGTTGCCATCCTTTTTGTTCGCGCCTGGTTGTTTGCGTTTGTCTCGTCTGCCTCACCTACTGCACGGAAGTTGTTCAGGTCGGTCAGCCGTTTGTCGTGTTGTGTAGCTGTAATGCACCAGTTTGGACTGTTGGGGGACCCCCAGCGCTGCCAGCGCCAGCGCGCACAGTACACAATACATGTAGGCGCACAATACACATGTAGGCGTGTTTTCCTTCCCTGTCTGTCTGATTCAGCCAAGCTGCTACAGAGAAAGGTTGCATCGTGCCGCAGAGTGGCTAGTAGGCAGCTGCAGCCGCCGCCGCCGCCACCGCCACACAGCCTCCTAATTGGGCGGTGCGCACTCGCTACCAGCCACACAGCATCTTCCGTACTTGTCTCAGGCGCCGGGCACGCTTTTGGGGCTTTTAATCGATGCTTTACTGGTGTGCACGCTGGTGAATGTCCAGGCGCGCAAGGAGTGGCGGTTGGTGGCGACAGGAAGGCCGGCAGCCCCCAGCCTGCCGGCCTGCCAGCAGGTTCCCCCCCAGCGCTGCCAGCGCCAGCGCGCACAGTACACAATACATGTAGGCGCACAATACACATGTAGGCGTGTTTTCCTTCCCTGTCTGTCTGATTCAGCCAAGCTGCTACAGAGAAAGGTTGCATCGTGCCGCAGAGTGGCTAGTAGGCAGCTGCAGCCGCCGCCGCCGCCACCGCCACACAGCCTCCTAATTGGGCGGTGCGCACTCGCTACCAGCCACACAGCATCTTCCGTACTTGTCTCAGGCGCCGGGCACGCTTTTGGGGCTTTTAATCGATGCTTTACTGGTGTGCACGCTGGTGAATGTCCAGGCGCGCAAGGAGTGGCGGTTGGTGGCGACAGGAAGGCCGGCAGCCCCCAGCCTGCCGGCCTGCCAGCAGGTTCCCCCCCAGCGCTGCCAGCGCCAGCGCGCACAGTACACAATACATGTAGGCGCACAATACACATGTAGGCGTGTTTTCCTTCCCTGTCTGTCTGATTCAGCCAAGCTGCTACAGAGAAAGGTTGCATCGTGCCGCAGAGTGGCTAGTAGGCAGCTGCAGCCGCCGCCGCCGCCACCGCCACACAGCCTCCTAATTGGGCGGTGCGCACTCGCTACCAGCCACACAGCATCTTCCGTACTTGTCTCAGGCGCCGGGCACGCTTTTGGGGCTTTTAATCGATGCTTTACTGGTGTGCACGCTGGTGAATGTCCAGGCGCGCAAGGAGTGGCGGTTGGTGGCGACAGGAAGGCCGGCAGCCCCCAGCCTGCCGGCCTGCCAGCAGGTTCCCCCCCAGCGCTGCCAGCGCCAGCGCGCACAGTACACAATACATGTAGGCGCACAAT